TATGGAAAATACTTGTAGAAACATCGGTGAGGAGATTGGAAAAACTAGGAATTTACTTGAAGGATAATCTAATAGTTGTAGAAGCACTGGCGGGTAGGAAAACTAGGAATATATACTTAAGGATGATCTAATAGTTATATGAAGAGGAGACCAAGGAAAACTATAGGCCAACCATTTTAAGAGATTTAGATGCAAATATTGTCTTTACATGACGCTGGTCATTTGTTTTGACTTTGATTGATTTGATCCACAGAGCCAGACTCCACCTAGTAGGAAAATGCTTAGTTGTTGTGTATTTAATTTCTGTTTTGCTGTTAAAAAAACTTGAGCTTGACAAATCACCAAATACAGAGTTTTCAATTAACCAGTTAAACTCTTAACCAACTTGATTCAAATGGTTTTCCGGATTCTCTTTGAAGTAATGCTATCGCTATTAGACAACTGACAATTTTGCCTAAAATATTGTGGAGTTTGGGAAAGAATTCCGCGGGACCATGTGATTAGGCTGAAATGTTCTGTTTGATGAATCAATTACTTCCCATTAAGAACATCTTTTTACTGAGTTGTAATTGATTGCTTTTGCTTCATCTAATTTTATTTCTTAGAGGAGTTGTAATAATTTTGTTTACCTTTTCCATGCTATCTAGATGTAAATCATATGAGAAAGCCAAGAAGAAGCTAACAGTATTGGAGGCGCCGAATATTCTTACGATTGTATTAAAACGATTTCAGGTGCATGTTCAAAGTTAGTTTTGATGTTTTTCTTGTCTATGTACTGTGTTCCTTGATTTGTAATTTAGCTTTCACCTTAGGTTTTCTCATGCATGTTATGTTGTTAATTTTGGCAGTCCGGTAACTTTGAGAAGTTGAATAAGTCGGTTCAATTTCCTGAAGTCCTGAATATGGCTCCATATATCAGTGGATTAAAAGACAAATCTCCATTATACAGTCTTTATGCAGTGGTTGTCCATTTGGATAGCATGAATACTGCATATTCAGGCCATTATGTTTGTTATGTGAAGAACATTCGAGGAGAATGGTTCAGGACTGATGACAGCAGGGTGAGAACTTTTTCCAACAAATCTCTTTTTATCTGAATGTCTCTTTCCCCTCCTCCCCCCAAACATGAGATGACACAATTGATTGATGTTATTGTTTAAATTGTTCGTTTTTTGGTTTTGAAATTCATACAATTGATGACAATATTGAAAATACATATTTCAACTATGAGATGAATTCTGTGTAAATTCTGTGTAAATTCAGGTAGAACCTGTTGAATTGTCAAGAGTCTTGTCAGAAAGAGCATACATGCTTCTTTATGCAAGGTAATAGCACTGCCGACGTTAATGTTTATGGCGTCTCAGCAGCAATAATAACATCGTTTTATGTTTATTTGAATAATCTCCAGGCACTCTCCAAAGCCCCTGGGTTCAGTAAGTAGCAATGCAATCTTTTCCACTGGAAAGTTTAAGAGGAGAAACTTGGAAGCCATTCCGGCTGTTTCTAAGACACGATCAAATTCCATGGCTACAAGTGCTGATTCTCTCTCTCTCCAGCAGAAGCACAGCAAGCATTCTCATGGGAACAGTGTCGACAATTCCTTTAGCAAGGAACCTGTATATCCAGAAGAATGGAGATTCAACTTCCGGGGAAGAAATACTATGGTGGATTCATCCAGCGAAAGCTCACTATTCAGCTCTTCTGATGCAAGTTCTTGCAGTACTGCAAGTACCAAGGACTCAGCTAGTACTGCTGACTTTTCAGATTACTTATTTGGCGAAGCAGGATCCAATTGGCATGGCCACTATGGAATTTCATCTAACTCAGCGGCATCTTCTTCGTATGAAAATTTGCATACAGATTTTTCAGTGGATAGAAGGCTCCAGCAAGATCCGGAAGATAAAACGATATTGTATGCTAACAAAAACAAAAGTCATAGTGGTAGATGGGGATTTGACTTAAAAAGATTTGTTACTGCTAAGCATCATGACAAAAATTCTGTTGTACATGTGAGAAGAACAAGTAGAGATGCATCAGCTCAGACATTTTATTGAGTTTGAGTTGATAGAATCAATCATCTGGAATATTTTTGGTACAGTGAATCAATATTTCGCTAATTCAAGTAGAAAGGAGGATTCTTGTTTTGATGTTAAGTCTTAGCTCAAGAATTCTCGTGTACAAGTAAGAATAACAAATTGAAATGCAGTAGCTCAAACATTTTGTTGAGTTTGAGTTTAGACAGCAGTCATCAATAATTTTCAGTACAAATGAAATATCATAAGTGCTTCACTACCTGTTTGATAGTCATCCGTTATTCAAGACTAAATTTTATTAATTTGTTAATCTGTCGCATGATTTCACACTTCATATGAAAAGTAAAAGCTAAATGTTTTTTGCATAAAGTAAACAAGTCTTAGATTAGAGGCTCATTATACATAGCCACTAAAGTCATTATTATGTATTCCTCAAACCTAGAAAAGAAACATGTAATTAGCTTTACATGTTATGGTTCCTATGAAGTCAGAATTAATGGAATAATCCTACAACAAACACTTATTGAGTAAACCTCTTCGTCTTAAAGCTTGGGTTATGCATGACAATTTTCAAAGTACTTTTAAGCATTCCCAAACTTTCATTTTCAACTCCTTGCACCCACAAAACACTTCTGGTTCTTCCTCCAACTGTCACCATCTCAACCTTTTCAACTTTGGCTTTCATTGACCCAAGTGCTCTTGCTATAGATGACATCAATCCTGGCCTATCTTCACAGCTTAATGTAGCTTTCACTAAACCCTCCTCATCATTACATTTTTCCAAATTCAATCTGTCTATCCCACTAGGAAACTTGACCTCCTTTGAGGTACCATGGCTTTCTTCTAGTTTTGATGCTTTTTTCTTCAACTCATACACTTGCTTGATAGCCTCCACTAGTATTGATGCCTTGTCCTTCTGTCAACAAATAACAAATTCTAAATTTAGCGAGATTGTTTAGGAAAATCACAATGAAAAACATGCAGGGGTCGCATCAATCATATCATATTTAATCGTTCATTTTTTATCAATAATGGTGATACTAACTTTGATCAGGCTGGGGAGGATGTTGCGGAGGGTGTCATATTGACCATTGATTCGCATTCTGCGCCTCCTTTCTGCTTCACTATGTTTCTTTGCTGCTAGTAATTTGTTCTCTGCCTTTGATCTTTGCTTTGAGATACTACTTTTGTATGTTTGAGAGATGAATGATGGTGGAAAGTTGGTTCTTAACATTTGAGTTTCTGAGTTATAGAAATTTCGAACATGCTGCATGCCCTGTTGTAACTATTTTAGTAAAACACAAGAAGGAAACAAGTTTGCAATTAATCTTAAACAAAGATAACTTATAATAACCATACCTGTCGAAGTAAAACCATTTTAGCAAGTGGAATGCAATTACAGCAGAAGCAATGAAGATTGAAGATGTTTGTGGCAACTATTTAGTCACTTTATAAAAAGGAATTAGCAAATCAAGGAATTTATGATAGGATTTTGAAATTAATTTTGAGATCATGCCTATGTTAAATATTCATAATAGGATATTATTATCTTCTGACATGTACGATTTTTATAAGACAACTTTGTAATCTTATTGATCTGCAAAATATATTTTGGATTTGCAATAACATCATTTATCTTCATGAAATCATTAAGGAATATATGAAATATCTTTTACCTTCTTATAAACTAGCCATCTAGTAGCACTAAAGACAAATATCGTTTGATATGGCACTAAATTCATTTTAACTGTTTCTTCTCAAACCGTAATATAGTTTATTTATAGATTTTAGAACAACATAACAGGAAATGATTATATTTAAGGGTCAGATTAGTTCCTCAAATTTATGAATAAGCAAAAACATCTATGCCAATAGATTTGATCCTTCCGTTAAACATCTATAGATTTAAATAATATAATGCTCGCACACCACTATAATAATGCGCGCCATTACAACGGCAATTTAACATTGGCGCCACTATGACAATATGCGCCACTACAATGGTGATTTAACAAAACGCGCCACTATAACAATGCGCGCCATTATACCAGCAATTTAACAACGCGCGCCACTATAATAATGTGCACTATTATAACGGTTATTTAACAATATTTTGAATTAAACACACTATAACAACACGCGTCACTATAACAACACGCACTTTCAAATTAAACAAACTATAACAACGCGCACACTATAACAATGCACACTTTTGAATTAAATACACTATAACAACGCGCCTCACTGTAACAATGCGCGCCATTATAACAACTATTTAACAACATTTTGAATTAAATGCATTATAACAACGCGCGCCACTATAACAATGCGCGTCATTATAACGGCTATGCAACAATATTTTGATTTAAACACACTATTGAAATGCGCACCACAACAAGAAATATTTAACAACACATCACTATAACAATATACGCCAATATAACAACTCTTTAACAACATTTTTAATTAAATCCACTATAACAACACCACCAGTATAACAATTATTTAACATCGCACGAATATTTAACAACACACGCCACTATAACAATGCGCGCAATTATAACAACCATTTAACAACATTTTCAATCACTGCTTATCACGAAACAATAACCATATGCCCCAATTCCTTCCATTATGCTGTAGCAGTGCACCACCAACATAGCAGCAATTTAACAACATACATAAACATGTAAAAACTAAAACAAGAGAATCAAACCATCTGAAAAGAGAGCAAAAATTATCTTTTGAATTTCATAAAGGACAAGGAAAAGAGGCATTACAAAAATTGGTAACATATGAACAATGCAATGCTTCCCCAGTAAAACAAGAATACAAACAATCAATTCAACAAATTCTCAGTCATTTCTCTCTTCCCAAAACCATGTTATTTCTGTGTATAACATGCTGCTAGACCTAGCAAAATCAAAAGTAAAAGAACAAGAAAACCCCCCAAACAGTTCAATTCTATCATCCATTAAACTGAACCCCGACAAAAACATCATCACGACCTTCAGTGAACTACAATTCACAATCCTTTGCATCAACAGGATCAGGATCAGCACAACTTATCCTCCGGTTCGCAACACTCTTCTTGGCCACAGTCTTTATCCTCATCTTCCGCTTCTCATTCCCTCGCATTTGAATCTCTTGAACCACCTTCTCCAAATCATCATTCCTCACACCACCATCCACATTCCCCCATTCTTTCTCACAATCACCATCATCATCATCATCAGAAACATACACAAATTCAGCCGAATTATCACCCATCCCGGGTTCTTTCACCTCGTAAAACTTCAACGGCACTCTAGCCCTACACTTGTAATACTGCCGCTGCTCATTTCCTTCCACCGTTGTTCCGCCAACTTTCACCGGCGGCTTCACCGCCACGCCATGAAAAGCCTTAACACAACCCTGACACATCAGCGAGCAACCTTCATACCTCTTCTCGAACTGGTACAGATTCCAGCAGTAAGGACAAGCAGTCCAAAACGTCGCCGTTGCATCAGCAACGCCGCGAGTTCCCATATCGTGATCGTAAACAGCGCGTTTCTCCGGGTCGGAGAGCACGTGCCAGGCCTCACGGACACGTGCTAGGGCTTCATCTTGAAAGGGGAATTTGTCAGTGGCAGTAGGGTCCAACAGGATCGCGAACTTGGCGTAATGCTGACGAGCTAGGTCACGGTTGACGGTTTCGGAGCGGGGGAGACGGAGGACGGAGTAGTGATCAGCGGCGGAGAGAACGTCGGCGATTGTGAGGATTCGCCCGATGGAATCGGAGAGTGGGAGACGGCGGGCGAAGTCGCTGCAGGCGGAGAAGTTGCGGAGGGAGAGCATGGAGAGGCATGTGGCGATTGGGTTTTCGGGTTCGGGTTCGGGTTCGAATCGTCGGAAAGGATCCATTGGAATTCTGGTTTGGAGTGTGACGAGTGAGGTGTGAAGAAGTTGAAGAGAATAATGGATACACGAAAAGAGAGAAGGGTGGTTTGGTCTTTTATAGCGATTTTTCTTGTTTTCTTAATTGACTATGTTAATTAGCTAATGATAAGTGATTATCATTGGTAACTATTATGGGTTGGAATAAGTAGCCATAGCTTAGTCAACACAAATGTAAAAAACAATTTTTCAAAAAACTTATTTAAAAAATTCTTAGGGTAACGATTTATAAATAAAATTAATTTTTTTAATACATAAATTATATATATTAATTATCAAATATACTAAAAAAAAAATCAAATTTACTTATAATTATTATAAAAAGTGTATTTAATTATGTTTTTATAAGAAGTATCTATCTAGTATGATCAAATTATTCTTTTTGACCATATTAGTAAATGAAAGAAACTAAAATTTGTATTTGACTAGCATAGTGATTTTTTATTCAATGAAATTTGATTTGTAAAAAGAGATTTTGTGAAGGAAAAAAAAAAGAAGACAAAAGAAAAAAAATGTGTATTTCATTACCATTTCTTCTCTCACGAGTAAAGATAAATAAAAATTAATTTTGATTAACAATTTTTATACTTGTAAGTTTAATAGTGGTGCGTGTTGTTAGAGTGACGCGCATTGTTAATTAATTGTATGTCGTTAGTATTGTGCATATTGTTAAATAATCATGAGTTTAATTTAAAATGTTGTTCAACAACTGTTATAAAGACATATGCTTTGTATAAGTAGCATTCATTTTATTACAGTGACTCGCGTTGTTAAATGTTTTATCTATTTTAAAATGATTATTGTTTAAATTTTTTATATAAAATTAAAAAATACATTGATATTGTTATAAAATATTACAGTTTTACAAAATAAAGTATATTAATATATTACTTTAATAATTATTATAATATTAAAAAATAAAAATAACCGTCATTTTAAAATAAAATTTAATTATTAAAATGACAATTATATTGAAATGGAGGGAGTAACAATTATAGTGGCGTGCCTTGCAATGTTGTGTTTAATCCAAAATATTGTTAAATAGTCGTTATAATGACATGAATTGATAACCGTATAATATTAAAGTATTGTGCGTTGTTAAATATTTTTTTCATTTTCAAATCACTGTCGTTTTAATAAATAAATTTTATTTTAAAATATTTTTTATTTTGACTTTTCCAATTATATCATTAAGTTTTTATTTTTTACACTATTTTCAATATATTAATAGATTTAATTTTATAAGACTGTAATATTTATGACAATATTATTATATTTATTAATTTATATACAAAAACTTTAAATAATTATTATTTTAAAACAGAGAAAATATAAATTATAATAGATTTAATTTAAAAATGTGCATTTTATTACCATTTATTCTCCCTGAGTAGAATTAAAAATGCTCAATCCTGAGCCAAATTCTTCTTTCTAAAAACAAAAAAATAATAATTCAAAAAGTTCAAATCAAAAAAGAAAATTTAATTTCGATTCACAAATTTTATACTTTCAACTTTTACAAAATAAAAAAATATTATAATCATTCATTTATATAGTAAAATAACATATTCTTTTCACTTACTTTTTTTATAATTGACTTATAATACAGAAGAGAAGGAGTGTTACACTTGTCTATTTATTTTTCTACCAATAGACAAAAATATTTTAATTCTTTTTTATTTATTTATTTCATATTTCTATGAAAAAATAGAATATATACGGTTAGTTAAAAATAATTTTATATTACCAATCTCTAAAGTGTATTTTGTCAAATTATATATATAATTTAAAATAATTTTAATGATATAATGATTGATTTTTTATTAGAGGAGAATGTAAATTATACAATATTAGGAGTGGTAAAATTGACTGAATCTGTCGGACCAATCCGTTTGACCTATTATTTTTGATAGGCTGGACTGAGGTTTTTGACTCGGCATTTTAAATTGGTCTGTCTCGCCTAACCTGTTTTAAAAAGCGGGCCGAGACGGAGCGAGGCAGATTTTGCCTGCGAACATTTTCTTAAATTTTTTTTATTTTTTACTTAGAATTAAAACAACTTTAACTATAAAAACAACACCATTCTCTTATGATTATGTTGATTGAATTGAGTTTTAAATTATTATACAGACAAATTGAATTATAATTGTAAGATTCTTTCTATAACTTTCAAATACATGTGTTGGTTGGAAAAACTTAAAATAAAAGAACAATTGCATGACATAAAGAATTATTATGTTGTCAATACATTAACTCACATGTTTTCTTTAGAAACATGTGTTGATTTTAAGAAAATGAATGATTTGATTAGTATATACGCGTGACAAATTTATGATATAATTATTAAGGAATTGATTAACATAAGAGCCCATATGATGTAAACAAAGAGAAAGTCATTTGTTAATAAGAAAATGATAAGTTTACACCATTTAATACACCAACACCGTATTTGTATGTATATAAGGCTTGTATTCTATTTTTTTTAAATAAATTTTCTTATCTTGATCTTTGTGCAAGAAAATTTCTGTGTTAAATTTTATGGGGTATGATACGGTGTAGGAAAAAGGGATGTAAAGATAGCATTCTTGCATGTTAATATTTTATGCACTGTGTTGTTTTATGCACAATAATTACTATTATTATTTATCTTGTGCAAATTATTAATTGAGTTCTTTTAGTAGTTGATCGTACCTGACCAGAATGGATGATTAAAGTCTACGAGTTGTGAGTTGAGCAGCAGCTGGAAATGAGATGGGGGGGGGTACCTGTAAGACACTTTGATGCCAAAGTAAGGTTCAGAGCAGTGCGAGTAAGTATGAGAGTGAGTGTGAATGAATGAATACATGTCCCTTTCAAGTGAGAGGGTATTATAGCCCCCAGCGCTGGGCCAAGGTCCCCATCGTTGGGCTGGGCAAGCATGCCCAAAATGGAGACTGCTAGGTCCTACGTGCGTAGTGGGGCCAACACGTGGTCCCCAACCTAGATGGACTCCCCTGAATAGTCAAGAGAATATGAATGCAGTATTTTCGGGACCAAGAGAACTCCGTGATATTCGGGGGTGTTGTGAGTCAACCTTACGAGGAGGATGTTTGCGATGTCCTTCTACCATCGTGGGCCCTCCCCGCCAGCTGTGAGGTCGTCCGGAAGGGCTTGTCTTGATCAACTAGAAGAGTGGAGGGTGCTCGCGAGGTCCTCCTGACCGGCGACGAGCCTCCTCGCGATTTTTGGATTTATCCCAGTATGACGAAGTCGCGTTTTCCCAAGGGGGTGAGGTTGCTGCCCGACATGATTGAGGGTAGGCTCGGTCAGCAGGCTTCCTCGAGCAGCATAGTTAGATTGGGCCTCGTATGAAACTGGGTCAAGTGCATGCCCAGTCCAGAATAGGAGCCCCCCAAGTCATTGCTCCTGATGAAAGAGTTATGACTTAAGTCTAATTTCTCCTTGCGGTGAGCATAATTTCACCGAGAATCTTTTATTGTATCAAGGGAGAGGGTCGTTAGGATGCCCGGTTACTCGAGCAGAGGTTGGAATTGGCTTGATGGGGAACATTCCAGTTGTTCCTCGACTAAAGAGGAGAGGAAACTTAGCAGGGATGTGGGCACGTGGCGTGGCCTTTAGGATATTAATGATGGCCTAGGGAGTAGGGGTCATTATTACCTGAACGCGTAGGCGGCAAGGAGAAGGGCGGTCGATGGGCTCCCTGACGCGACGCTTCGTATTCCACGTCAGCCCTATATAATAATACCTTAGGGTCTATTTCCCACATTTCCACTTTTCGCTCTCTCCACTTTCTCTGTCACCTGTACCATTTCTCTGTCTTCTCACCGTCAACATCGCCTTAAGATCCGCCGCAGATTCTCCACCTACTCTGATCAAGTAAGTATTTTTCGTACTGAATGTTGTTTACGATTGGCTTTATTGATGATTCTTTATAGAATTTCGCTACCGGGGTTTTTTTGCTCGGGGTGTTCATACATTCATGCGTAATATTTGCGAGTGGGCTCGTGATATTCATTTCTTCTCTGCAAAATTCATGAATTTACTCGTGACATTCATCTGTTCCCCGCGAAATTCGTGAATTCTGCCTGAGAAATTTATATGCTCCCCGGTGAATTTATGAATTTTCCCGAAAAATTTGTATGTTCCTTGCAACATTCATGGATATGCTCGTAATATTTATCCCATGCCCGCGGGACCCATGAAATATGTGTTTTGTCATTATCATCGTTGTGCGGTCTTACGAGACTTGCATAAGTTCCATGCGTTGATCGTGGGTCGTGTATGTTCCTCACTGCACAAGTGATTGTCGACCTAGTCTGGGCAAATCTATCCCCTTTCACCTGTATCAGGGTGGAAGGGTGGATTTGATTTAGCTGTCAAATTCAATAGTTTCCTCTGCTTTACGGGTGAAATGGCCGAAACCCCTGAGTCATCGGAGCACATAGATGTCAAAGAGACAAGCACAACCGAAGAAGGGCTCCATTTGGCCGACACGTTCGATGTAACACCCTAATTCTACCCGACAATATAAATGTAAATCAGAGTTATAAAAACTATACAACTGAATCGGGACGCTACAAATTCAACTTAAAAACCATTGTATTCAACATGGATACATAACACTTTAAAACTTTGGATATCCAAGTTGTCGTCGTGCACGAATGGGATTGTAGTTAATTCCTCCCTTTGTACCAAGAAGAGGTACATTAGAGAAACAACCATAACTATCGACAATATCCATATCATAGTAAGCCTGATGATACCAAACAATGTTGGAATCAGTGAGGGCCATAATCTTCAGAGCCCATTGAGGTTCCTTCCTGACATCCCAGAAAGCGTTGGACCTAGGTAAGTGAGAAATAAACCACTAATACAACAAAGGCATGCAACAAATGATCATCCATCCATGATAAGAATCCCGAAGATGAATGGAGTAATAAGCATCTCCTAATAATGTGGGGACTGGA